GAACACTGAAAAAAAAGTTTTTATTTTTTTTTTTTAGCAATTATATAACAAATTTATTTTTAATATGCCTTCATTTTCTTTATTAACTCAATTAAAATAAACATAATTATTTGATTTTATTCAAGAAAAAGCACTGAAACTGTTTGGGTCATACTCCTGAAATTTAGAGGACTGAGGAAATATCCCAGCCATTTCACCTAATATGACATAAATTCTCTTATTTATATGCATATTGTAGCTAAATTTTTTAACATGTCAGAAAATGTGTCAAACCTCTCTGAAATATTGAAATATGCAATAAAAAAAGTTTTCTCTTGTTTTTTCTATATATGATAATGTCTTCGTCCATAGTTTGCTCCTGGAAGCCAGAAGGTACCTAAGCATCAAGGAATCTATTCATCAGGTATGGCAAGATTTACATTCAAATCTTTGACCTCTTAACTCTTCTTAATAAAAAGGAACTACTACCATTCTTCTGAGGAACAAACTTAATGAAAATTTGGCACATTTTATTAAAAAAAAAAAAAGAGAAACCAGTTGATTTCCACACCCAATTCTGAAATGTGTGTGTGTATTCACCTAATTGTGGTTGCAGGGGTTGATACTCAACTCCTGGCCCCGCCTCTTCACTGATCGCTGCTAGGTCCCCTCTCTCTCTCTGCTCCCTGAGCTTTATCATACCTTGTCCTAAAGCTATGTATGGTTCATGCCTCCACTACATCACTTGACAACTATCTGACTGAAGTACTTCCTAACATCCCTTTGACTCGTCTGAGTCTTCAGCTTCCAGTTGTGACCCCTTGTTTCTGTGTCCCCTCTTTAGAGCATCCTGTCTGTCCACCTTCTCTATTCCATGCAGTATTTTGTATGTCGTTATCATGTCTCCCCTGACCCTCCTGTCCTCCAGCGTCCTCAGGCCGATTTCCCTCAACCTTCTTTCGTAGGACATTCCCCTGAGCTCCGAAACTAACCTTGTTGCAAACCTTTGCACTTTCTCTAATTCCTTGACGTGTTTGACCAGGTGTGGGTTCCAAACTGGTGCTGCATACTCCAGTATGGGCCTGACGTACACAGTGTACAGTGTCTCGAACGATTCCTTACAAAGGTGACGGAACGCTATTCTCAGGTTTGCCAGGCGCCCATTTGCTGCAGCAGTTATCTGGTTGATGTATGCTTCCGGAGACAATCTTTCTCCTTGAGTGAGGTTTGCAGTCTTTGACCATCTAGCCTATACTCTGTCTGCGGTCTTCTTTGTCTTTCCCCAATCTTCATGACTTTGCATTTGGCGGGGTTGAATTCGAGAAGGTAGTTGCTGGACCACGTGCTCAGCCTGTCCAGGCTTCTTTGTAGTCCTGCCTGATCCTCATCTGATTTAATTTTCCTCATTAACTTCACATCATCTGCGAACAGGGACACTTCTGAGTCTATCCCTTCCATCATGTCATTCTCATATACCAAAAATAGCACTGGTCCTAGGATTGACCCCTGTGGGACCCCGCTCGTCACAGGCGCCCATTGTGATACCTCATCACGTTCCATGACTCGTTGTTGTCTCCCTGTCAGGTATTCTCTGATCCATTGCAGTGCCCTTCCTGTTACATGCTCCTGATCCTCCAGCTTCTGCACTAATCTCATGAGAGGAACTTTGTCAGAGGCCTTCCTGCAGTCCAGAAAAATGCATTCAACCCACCCCTCTCTCTCTCTTGTCTTACTTCTGTTACCTTGTCATAAAACTCCAGAAGGTTTGTGACACAGGATTTGCCTTCCATGAATCCGTGCTGGTTGTCGTATATAATCTTGTTCCGTTCCAGGTGCTCTACCACTCTCCTGATAATCTTCTCCATGACTTTGCATATTATACACGTCAGTGACACTGGTCTGTAGTTTAGTGCCTCGTTTCTGTCTCCTTTCTTAAAAATGGGGACTACATTTGCCGTCTTCCATACCTCAGGTAGTTGCCAAGTTTCAAGGGATGTGTTGAAGATTGTGGTTAATGGCACACACAGCATCTCCGCTCCTTCTCTAAGAACCCACGGGGAGATGTTGTCCTGTCCCATCGCCTTTGAAGTATCAAGGTCACTTAGCAATTTCTGCACCTCCCCCCTCAGTTGTGTGTATGTCATCTAACACTTGTTGGTATATTCCCTGTTGGTGTTTCCCTCTGTGCTATCTTACCAGAGCCCTTCATGTCTCTACTGTTAATACTTCCTTAAATCTCGTGTTGAGCTCCTCGCATACCTCATGATCGTTTCTTGTGTGTGTGTGTGTGTGTGTGCGTGTGTGTGTGTGTGTGTAGGGGTTGAGTCATAGCTCCTGGCCCTGCCTCTTCACCGGTCGTTACTAGGTCTTCTCTCTCCCTGCTCCGTGAGCTTTATCATATTTCTTCTTGAAACTATGTATGAATCCTGCCTCCACTATATCACTTTCTAGACTATTCCACTTCCTGACAATTCTATGGCTGAAGAAATACTTCCTAACTTCCCTCTAAATCTTCAACTTCCTTGTTGCTGTGTCCCATCTCTGGAACATCCTGCCTCTGTCCACCTTGTCAATTCCTCTCAATATTTTATATGTCGTTATCATGTCCCCCCTATACCTTCTGTTCTCCATTGTCGTCTGGTCGATTTCCCTTAACCTTACTTAACCATACTTAGCTCCTTGACTAGTCTTGTTGCAAACCTTTGCACTTTCTCTAATTTCTCGACGTGCTTGACAAGGTGTGGGTTCCAAATTGGTGCTGCATACTCCAGTATGGCTCTGACGTACATGGTGTATGGAGTCTTGAACGATTCCTTACTGAGGTATTGCAACGCTATTCTTAGGTTTGCCAAGCGTTCATATGCTGCAGGAGTTATTTGGTTGATGTGCACCTCCGGAGATGTGCTCGGTATTATACTCACCCCAAGGTCCTTCTCCTTGAGTGATGTTTGGAGTCTTTGGTCCCCTAGCCTGTACTCTGTCTACGGCTTTCTTTGCCCTTTCCCGATCTTCATGACTTTGCACTTGGTGCGGTTAAACTCCAGGAGCCAGTTGCTGGACCAGGCTTGCAACCTGTCCAGATCCCTTTGTAGTCCTCCATGATCCTAATCCGATTGAATTCTCCTCATTAGCTTCACATCGTCTGCAGAGACACTTCTGAGCCTATTCCTTCCCTCATGTCCTTCACACATACCAGAAACAGCACCGATCCTAGGACTGACCCATGTGGAACCCTGCTAGTCACAGGAATCCACTCTGACACCTCGTCACTTACCATGACTCGCTGTCGCCTCCCTGTCGGGTATTCTCTGATCCATTGCAGTGCCTTCCTGTTATGCGTGCCTGATGTTCTACCTTTTGCACTAATCTCTTGTGTGGAACTGTGTCGAAAGCCTTCTTGCAGTCCCAGAAAATGCAATCTACCCACCCCTCTCTCTTGTCTTACTTCCGTCACCCTGTCATAAACTCCAGTAGGTTTGTGACACAAGATTTCCCTTCCCTGAAACCGTCCTGGTTGTCGTTGATAAGCCTGTTCCTTTCTAGGTGCTCCACCATTATTCTGATAATTTTCTCCAAAACTTTGCATACTATACATGTCAGTGACACTGGTCTGTAGTTTAGTGCTACGTGTCTGTCTCCTTTCTTAAAAATTGGGACTACATTTGCTGCCTTCCACACCTTAGGTAGTTGCCCAATTTCGATGGATGTTTTGAAATTTGTTGTTAGTGGCACACACAGCTCCTCTGCTCCCTCTCTCAGGACCCATGAAGAGATCTTGTCCAGTCCCACCACCTTTGAGGTATCTAGTTCACCTAACAGCCTCTTCACTTCCTCCTTGAATGTGTGTAGTGTGTCCAGCACTTGTTGGTGTACCCCACCATTCTGGCTTTCTGGAGTCCTTTCTGGCTCCACTGAAAATGCTTCCTTAAACCACACGTTGAGCTCCTCGCATGCTTCTACATCGTTTCTTGTGAACTCCCCTCCTTCTTCAGCCTGATTACCTGGTCCTTGACTGTTGTTTTCCTCCTGATGTAGCTGTACAACATCTTCAGGTCAGACTTGGCCTTCAATACTAGGTTGTTTTCGTACTGCTGCTGGGCCTCCCTCATCTGTGCATATTCGTTTCTGGCTCTTCGACTAATCTCTTAATTTTCCTGGGTCCTTTGTCTTCTGTACCTTTTCCATTCTCTAGCACACTAGTTTTGGCCTCTCTACACCTTAAGGTGAACCAAGGGCTCGTTGTGGTCTTCCACATTATTTCTGTTGCCCATGGGAACGAACCTCTCCTCTGCCTCCTTGCAGCTTGTTGTCATGTACTCCGTCGTTTCATTTACTGATTTTTCTGCCAGTTCTTTCTCACTGAACTTCATGCAGGAAATTCCTCATGCCTATGTAGTCCCCTCCCTTTTTGTAGTTTGGTTTCTTCCATCCTACTACTACTGCTTCCCTCTCCACTTGTAAATCTACTATGTATTCGAAGTTCAGGACCACGTGATCACTAGCTCTGAGGAGCCTTTCATGATGTCCTCAATGTCTGAACTACTAAAGGTGATTATGAGGTCCAATCTTGCTGGCCCATCCTCTCCTCTCTCTCTGGTAGTGTCCCTAACATGTTGGTGCATGAGGTTTTCCAGTACCACCTCCATCATTTTAGCTCTCCACGTTTTAGATCCCCCATGTGGTGCCAGGTTTTCCCAGTAAATTTCCTTGTGACTGAAATTACCCAGAACTAATAGCTTTGCTCTATCCATATGGGCCTTTCTGGCCACCTCAGCTAGCGTGTCCACCATTGATTTGTTGCTCTCATCACATTTTTCTCTTGGCCTCCTGCTATTCTGTGATGGGTTGTATATCACTAAAACCACCACCTTGGGACCCCCAGTTTGAACTGTTCCTACTATGCAGTCCCTTGCTTCCATTCTGTTCATTCTTTCCTGTTCCTCGAATCTCCACCAGTTTTTGATGAGCAGTGCAACTCCTCCTCTCCCTCTGTCATTCCTCAGGATCTGATATCTGGATGGAAAGATCGCATCTGTTATCATCCCCGTAAGCTTGATTACTGTGAGTGCTATGATGTCTGAGCATGCTTCCATGATTCTTTCATGCCACTCCTCACATTTATTTGTTATTCCATCTGTGTTGGTTTACCAAACCTTCAGCCTATTTTCTAATACGTACTGCGGTCTGGGGGGTTTGCTGGGGTTGAGGGGGCGGGAGACCTCTGTGTGTTGTGTGTGTGTATACTCGCCTAACTGTACTCACCTAATTGTGGTTGCAGGGATTGAATCATAGCTCCTGGTCCCCCCTTCGTGTGTACCATTTATTACTATAACTAATATATTCAAAATTATTTCTAAATCTAGCAGGCTATAATTTGAACCATTCTTACCTCTTCACGATGATCATACAAATCTGTTGGTACAATTTCACTCGGGACAAGGGTCTTTGTTAAAATATCCTGTTTATCCACCTCTTTTGACTCAGCATTTGACCATGGAATAATATAACCAGTGGGTTGAAAGATGATACCATCTATCTTGTATCTGTATGAGAATAATATTTCAAATTAATCATATTTTAACTAGGAAAAAATAATATTTTCTTCACACTTTCTCTTGTATTTTTTTATGTTCTGCAAAATTATTAGTTACTATAGTACGGGAAAACATCCTATCCATAGGTATTATACAGTAACAAGGAAATGGAAAGTAATCAGGTTTGATCCAAGGAAGGGGAGAGCAGCTCAAATTAATTAGATTATGAGTCTTTCGCCAACATGAAGGCACTCCTTGATGGGCCAATATTCTTCAACTTTCACATTGCTCCTCACCTGTTTATCAGAGCATCTGCAACGGTGTCAGGATTTTGATAGTTGTGTTCTCTTTCCCATTTTTGAATGAGTGCAATCAAGTTACCCAAGTTGACCGGCATGCGATCTGTCAGGTCGTCAAGTCCATTCTCATAACATTTCGACGACTTGAAATTTTCATCCCAAGCCGCTGTAATAAATATTTTTTTAGTAAGGATCATGCATTCTTTTAATTAATTTCATATATCAATAAAGTCGGAAATTCTGAGATAAAACCTTTAATTATCAAAATTTCAAGAGGTATATCTACATATTTACTGTAATATATTGTACCCTACATTACAATAAGTACACCTTTTATTTCCTAATTTACAGTGAGGATTTTTTTTTTAACTTTCAAATATTATCGCATCAACATAATGCAGATGCGTATAGTTAGGACTAATATAAAGGGACATACAAGTGTCTTAAGAGAACAACTGTTAAAGCAATGTTTGGCTTTGTCAAACCAATACATACATTACATATACAAAATGAGTTGTTAAACAGGAGATGGGTGGGGTAGTAACAGTAGTTGTAAATGGTATAATGATACCGACAAACTGTGGAAAAGGACACTTATGTACAGTTCAAGACATTTATTACCGGAAACGTTTCACCAAGAGTGGTTTCATCGTTCGTAATACAGAATCATCTAAAACAAATTTATATATAGCAGACTGTGCACGTAACCTGAAGCAAAAGTGTGGTGAGGCAGGAGCGATGTCAAGTTGCAGAAAATTTGTTGAATAAATCCAACCCTCTCACTTATATACATGTCTAACATATTTTCTGATATTTGACGTGCCTCCTGCCTCACCTCACTATTACTTTAGGTTACCTTCACTGTCTACTATATGAAAACCTGTTTTAGATGATTCTTTATTACGATTGATGAAGCCACTCGTGGAGAAATGTTTCCAGTAATAAATGTTCTGAACTGTACACAAGTGTCATTTTTCACAGTAACAGTAGCAGTAGTAGTAAAGGTGATGTCTCGTATGATGGCGATGTCATGCTAAAATCTCGGAAATAATAAAGCTGCCTTTATTTTTGTTTATTCGTTTTGGAGATAGTGTATGGTTTCATTTCATAAGGTGGATAGTGGAGTGCTGATGCTGCTTGCACCCAAAGTTGTTCACGTTGTCGAATCTGCTGGCATAAATGTGTTCGTTACGGCGTGTTTCCTGGGTGCACGATTTTTCTCCACTGTATACATACTTACCTTTTGCATTCCAGCAGAGAATGGCACAAACACCTGCATGATGAGGTTTTGGATGGTGACGCTAGCAGTGGTGGTAGCGACGCTGATATTACCTTGGGTAAGTGATACAGAGACATTCTGCATAAATTGGCAATTAGGAAGGACGACGAATTTGCGGGGATTGGTGTCGCTGCATGGAGAGTTAAAGGTGGTCTGAAATATATGTTTCTTCGAATCTCTAATGAAGAGAGTAGGGAAACTGGGCCCCGAAAATAATTGGTGTTTGAAGGCAGACTTCGTCTAGGAACTCTGGGCTGCAGACATGAAAGCCTCTTAAAAAAACAGACTATTATGATGCTACGTTTGATTTTGATCTCCTACCTGGAGTAGTACCTGGCTGAAGTTGGCTCTAGAATCAAGATTTATTATTAGGCTGAAAGCCTAGACCTATTTTCAACATTAAAGCTTCAACTTTCAATTTTATTTTCTTAAAACCAATGAGTTATCACCAAGCCATTTATAAACAATAATGAATCGTTGGCTTTATTATTTGACACCATTTTTTTTTATTTCTGAATGCTACCCGTCTTAGCGAAACTTTAACTTCATTATTTTCAAAGCTAGGACCTGGCATCAGTCAACCACTCACATGCAATAATGAACTCAATTCTCATCTATTATTTTATACCAAACTCGATCCAAAAAAAGACATTCTCCAAAACTACCACCTGGCTTATTCAAATTTTAACCAAAAATTTCTCAAAACCAGAAGCGTGCATCACTAAGCCACTCACATAAAACGATAAGGTTATGCTCCTCTATCATTTGATACCTTACTAGGTGAGTACCAATTTCTCTATAAAAAAAAAAAAGGCAAAAGCCGCCACCTGGCTAAGTCACACTTGAACTTTGAATCTCTCATAGCCAGGAAATGCTATCATTGAGTCATTCATCACACAAAAATGAACTCATTTTCCTATGGCATTACCAAACTCGATCCTGCTTAGTCATTCTTTAACCCAAAACGAATGAAAGTCAGAAGCTTGTGTCACTAAGCGACTTACACGAACTAACGTATTTAATGGCTTCCATCATTTGATATCAAAACTGTTAAATTAGAAATTAATCCTGAATTCTCAAAGCTGAACGTGTCCATAACACTATCGCTACGTCACATGGGTACATTACATATACGATATCATCACCCCTAGACGCTACGATGTTTACGAGCTACAAGAAGGGTGAATTTAGTTAAGCTCTCAATTCAGTTCACTTTGGAAGAGTAAACTGATGACAAACTAACATTCATTGATGCGTCCACCACACAAGGTGAATAATTCTTTCAGGTAATGTCCACGGAAAAATCTTCTAACAAAAAAAAAAAAAAAAGGGAGCTCATCAACTTTTACTCTAGTTAGGAGACCAAAACCAAATGAGGCATGAAAAGACTGTTTTTCTTGTAACCTACTGTATCAGCAGCCCAATTCCTTGATGAATTATATGCTTCCATACACCAAAAATTTTCGGAGCTTCGTTTTCCTATCCTCCTCATTAAAGATTGAAGAACTGCTCCTTCCAGATCTTTAGCTATCCGTGTAGTGGTACCTGTTCCCGCAAATTCATTGTTTTTCCTGACTGTCAGGTTGCCCAGAATGTCTTTATGGCATTCGCTATAAAGCTAAGTCTCACACCCAGAAATAGTTCACGTAGGTGTTTACACTATTCCCTGTGGAAGATGCGAAAAAGTATACATTCAAACATGCTTAAACGAATATACTTATGTCAGCAGATATAGCAACCTGAACAATGCCTTCATGTAGCATTAAAGCACCACTTACCACCTTATGAAGAAGAAGAATGATCGTCTGGTTATTCAAGTACCATAGACACGAAAGTAGCCCTTATACCTCTCTCCAATAATATTACACGAAATAAAGGGAACTTTATCATCTTCGAGATTCTAGCACGAATCCTACTTCAAATAATTACATGTGCAGAGATTTACAGATATTTCCTTCTTTCCGCTGATTCTCAATGCTCTCACCCTGCATTAGATCATGAAATGTCTGGGGACTTTATAAAGAGCTATGATAGAGAATAAAATCTGCTTTTTTTGGTCAGTTTCCTATAAATATTGAAGGCAAGTTCGTCATCATCGTTGATAAGTAGAGTGTATGAGAAAGAATTAGCCGTTAAGACTCGTTCTCTAGCATATGCCGAATATAATGGGTTCTGCATTGTTATGTCTGCATTTGCAATCTTTCAGGTCAAAACGCACTGAAATTACTCCTAAATTTCTAGGGAAGCGCCTCTAAAATAGTAGGTAATTAAATTTGATCTTAATATTGTAGAGCGCCCCTCTCTTATCAGAGTTATCGGTGAAATGATAAAACTCATCATCGTATAGTTGCCAGGTCATTCTGTCATGACTGCAGTTTTATAAATAAATCAGACGTGTGGGAATGGTAGGGTGTGAGAAGGACCTGCAGGGCTTCTCTTGTGTTCTTATAGTTTCAGAAAGAACCAGGTTTTTGAAGTTAATAAACAGGTTCGTCAACACAGATGAATGTGTTCAAAGAGCGGGTTGTTATACTTTCATCTTTTTTTGTTATTTCCTTATCAAGTATATGTGCGATTTGTTATTGTCAAAATTAGAAAAGCCAAAATGTGTAGCTCTTGTATAATTTTCTGTAGACCTGAGAAAACTTATACAGTTTTTTTTTGTAGAAGTAGCAAAGCTTGTATACTTTTCTATAGTCCTAAGAAAGCCTCTGTATTTCTGTAGTCCTAAGAAAGCTTAAATAGAATTTTAAAGTATATTTCTACCCCACGTGGCGTTTGACCAACATCGTCGGTCTGTACTTAGTGTTATTAAAAATATTCTTTTTACCTCCTTTTAAGTGGTAATCAAAGCACAAACCTGTTGAAGCTAGGAGTCCTAGTAGGAAACCAGCAGCTAGTAGTCTCATCTGTAATGATAACAAGCGCTAATTAGTTTGTTAGGCATAAATCAACCTTATTGACTACACATGGGTCATTAAGGCCGTAATCCAGCCAAACACTAACACTTTAATCACCAAACTTAGGACTCGACTAAACTTCCAGTGTATATACACTCTGTGTAAATAAACTAATGAAATGTTATGTTGATTGTTATGCTTGAAGCCTATCAACTGAACGAGTCATTAAGCTGTATTTCACATTTCACCACCAGTCAGGGGGATATATAAATACTAAGACATATGATGTATCTACTGCTCTCGGTGCATATACAGCCAGAGAAAGTTACCTCTCAGAATATATATAATCTTGATGTGGTAATTCATACGTGTTTGAAACGAAAGGGAAGGCTGAGTGCTCGGGTAATGTTAAGCTATATTTAAATTATTCAATCCTACATACACATTGCCTAACAAACGCATCATTACTCGCCATGGGTTCAAACCCCCACCCGTTCCGTGGGTTAAGCTGCATCATTATCAAAGCTAAGCCAACAGAGTACAGCATGTCTATACTTAAGAGCGTATGTAAATCGTAAAAATGTCAAACTATTTAATACAATGAACAGCTCTTAATAGACATGCTATTAGAAAAATGCTTTCAAGATTGCTAATAATTACTCGAGTATCCGGTATGTTATAATAAGTTAGAGTAAGTGTTAATAATAGCAGTGATAGGTACTGTGGTTCTCCGTCTCCCATATGCGAGCACAGCGGTCCCATACCCCTAAAATTCCTCCCAAGTTTACTTAGGCACAGGTACACGTAAGTACAAATATCATGCATAGTGTAAATTACCTAGGATAACCCAAAAAATCAAAGTGACTTATTTCCAATACAGTGGCTGAAGCATATATAATAATAATCTTTATATCTACAAGTACATATACAAGGTATACAGTCCTAGCTGACATCAGTGACATACTACTACATAGAAAGCCACTGTTAAGCTGAGCATTTCGGGCAAATTAGGTCAGTTCTGTCCCAGGATGCGACCCACACCAGTCGATTAACACCCAGGTACCCATTTTACTGATAGGTGAACATTGGACAGCAGGTGTCTTAAGGAAACAAGTCCTGATGTTTCCAGCCGTACCTGGTATCGACCCCCGGACCACAATGTGTGAGCCGAGTGCGCTAGCTATCGAGCTAACGACGTTCCTATTCGTGCGGGACTACTAACAAGTCGTAAATAACTTTCTATTTTTACTTTTAAAATTTAGAGTTGTTGCCTCTTGTATGTAAAACTTTAGATATCTTAAAGCAGTTTTTGGAGTTTAGATTTTAAAGATTATTTTTTTTAAATAGTGAAAGGTTATGTTCTGGACTCCATTTATAGAATTAAATATGTGCTCGAAAACATACAGACAAAGATGATGTATAGGGAATCATTTACAACTGAAGACCCATGGCCGATCCTTGACCGAACTACCTGGCAGGTGCATTTTACTATTCACATATTGGTTTGCCAGCAAACTCAGGTTTGCAGTCCCAAATTTCTATATACTGTTTAGAATGACATCATTCACACCAATAAGTAAGTTTTTTTCAGGTATACACAAATAGTTATATAGATTATCAACATATGTGTAGGGAACCTGGGATAACCCAAAAAAATAAGTCAGACAAAGTGACTTATTTCCATTGGGGTCCTTTTAATACCAATTTAAATATATCTCACATTACAAGTTTTAAAACTCATTCGCATTCCTGCTGTTTCAAGCAATCAGTCAACTTTCTCACGTCATCGTAACAACAGTTGACAGCCGCCACATGCCCTCAACAATAAGTAATGTGTATGTCTAATAACACTTCATTCTAGATACCCATGAAATGTACATTCTGCAACAGTTCTTATTTTTATTCTAATGACAACTTTTCCAAATTATTATTACATTAATTTTATGTGCTAAAGTCAATTGGGTCATACAGCGCTGTGGGTAGAGGTATGGGAGGGTAGAAGTTAGTGCAGGTGACGGTCAGTGAGAGTTTAAAACAGAAGTCACAGCTGTAGTGCAGTAAGTTAGTTTTCCAAAGACCATCCATTATCTGCGAAAGACTAATCATAGAAAATGAACGTAGCAAGTGTTTATATTGAAGGATAACTGCAAATATTTAGAGGATCTAAGCAGGTGCCAATAATTTATAGGTTAAAAGCTTTATTATGTACCCACAAACTTATCCTGTGGGAAAAAGTCAAAGAATTATAGATACATAGCGGGTTCAGAGACTGGGTCACAAAGCTTTCTTAACTACGCAAGTTACAGCAGTAATGAACTATTTACAAAAAAAAAATGGTTGAAAATTATGTGAATAAAAGGCATGGAAGAAAATAAAACATATTACAGCAGTGCGGAAACTTGTTATATGATAACGTTTTGCTTGATATACAAGCAAATGGCTTTTATATCAAACGAAATGTTATTCAAACAGTTTTTATGCTGCTTTGAACTCTCGTTTTACATTTGCAAGTATCCGGGCTAATAGAAATGTTTGGCATGATCCCTTAAGTAGTAAGTAGGTATCTATATGTTGGTTATCTTTCACCTGCTGCTCCTGTTCACCTAACAGTAAGTGGGTACCTGGGTGTAGGCTGACTCACCTAATATTTAGCTTAGGGGCTCCACGAAACTAATCCCCTACTTTCAACTCTAAAAGACAAAAGCAATTTATCTTTAGCCCAGCAAAATAAAAAGTTTTTTATGCAATTTTTTTTAGGGAAGATATTAGCAACAAAATTATTATTGGTTGTAATAAATAGAGCTGAAGGGACAGTTTGCCAATCAACGGTTAGCATTCAGTCACGTGACTGTCCAGGAATAGTGAAGCACAGGTCTAATAAGACACAAGAGTTTGTCTTACACACGTCAACTAACGTTTTACGCCATAATTCGCAATTTTTTTGTGGACAAGACGAACGTCCGTTACAATCACAGTAATTGTGAGTATCAATGTTGGGTAATTATTTAATGTGATAAATGGTTTTGAATACCGACAAGATGAAGTCTGAAACACTTATGCAACATATGAGAATATTTATTTAGGAAACGTTTCGCCACACAGTGACTTCATCAGCCTGGAATCGATGTGTTCAATCCATCAATCTTGAAGAACGTCAAGACTAATGGACTGAACATATCGATTCCAGGCTGAGGGACTGATTACCTCAAACTCCTCTTCTTGCACCGTTCTTCTATGTATTGGACTGATGAAGCCACTGTATGGCGAAACGTTTCCTCAATAAAGATTCCCATATGGTATATTAAGTATCTCATTCTTCAATTACTTAATGCTTTACGTTTTGTTAGGTGGTTAAGTTGGGTTACGTTGGCTTTGGCTGGGTTAGAATACATTAGGTTAAATTGTCAACTCAAAATATACCAAAAAGAACCCATTTTTCAAATTTCCACAAATTAAAACTTCCTCCAATGCACAAACCAAAAAGTATTGGACACTCAATTATGAAGAATTATACACAAGTGCAACAACTAGGTATCTTATCATGTAGACGTTTCAGCATACTGTCAATTATAATTTTTCGTCAAACTCGGTGGAGCCCTTCAACTGTATATTTTCCAGCGACTGTTATGAGTCACAGCCTTGGCAAGAGGATCACGGAACCTTCACTAATGGAAATGAACCATATTGGTTTGCTTATTTGGGCGGTTAACCTGGAATACTAACCCACCAAATTAATAATCTGAATAAAATCTTCAGGAACAGTAGTAAGGAAGTAAGAGATTAGTTTCACAACAGATTCAGTTACAAACATGCATGTTCACTGTAACAGATACACATCGGTCAAGGTGACTGGCAAATGTGCTATGTTGATTAAGGAAGTTACCAAGAAAAAATCGAACTTTAAAATATGTACCATTATATAATAAGTTTTATTCCTGCCTTCGCAAATGTAAATATTTTACAGACAAATTATATTGTCAGTTAGCTCCTTCTGACATCTGAAATTATATGAATTATAACTGAAAAAATACATTCGACTCACACTAAATGGATAAATAATTTCTTCAGCAGGACAAAAACTTCAAGTTTATCAAACTGCAGTGCCAAACAGGCGACATAAAAGCCTTATTATGAAAGAAAAAAAAAAGGTATTCCTCGAAGCCAAATTTATGCTACAGTACAATATTCAGTTCTGAAACCTCATCATCTTCCTGTCCAACGTAGAGATCATGGTTTCGAGGTTCACATTATTATATTCATAGGGAAGCGCTAAACCAGCAGAGTTCATACAGAATAATGGGAGGTAATCAGATATTAAGTGACTATAGCAATATCTATTTAAAAGTGCAGTGCAATATACAGTGTGTGTAAAAATTTAGTAAAAGGTACGACATATGTACATAAAGATTCACATCACTGACTGCTCACTATATATACACTTATATATATATATATATATATATATATATATATATATATATATATATATATATATATATATATATATATATATATATATATATATATATATATATATATATATATATATATATATATATATATATATATATATATATATATATATATATAAATATATATATATATATATATATATATATATATATATATATATATATATATATATATATATATATATATAATATAGGTGTAAATGATAATGGAAGCCCTTTTTAAGAAAAAGAGGATAAATAAGTATACAAGATATGATGTATGGCGAAATGACAGTAGTTTGTTGGATTATGTATTGGTAGATAAAAGACTGTTGAGTAGACTTCAGGATGTACATGTTTATAGAGGGGCCACAGATATATCAGATCACTTTCTAGTTGTAGCTACACTGAGAGTAAAAGGTAGATGGGATACAAGGAGAATAGAAGTATCAGGGAAGAGAGAGGCGAAGGTTTATAAACTAAAAGAGGAGGCAGTTAGGGTAAGATATAAACAGCTATTGGAGGATAGATGGGCTAATGAGAGCATAGGCAAAGGGG